GCTCTCATATATTCACTGTCGAAACTACGAAATATATATCTATTATATATATATAGCTTCATATGTCATCGCACCTATCGCATATATATATATATATATATATATATATATATATATATATACTCCATATAGTCAAATGTATGTCAATGGTCATATTGCCTTGATCTATCCACACACCCATTATATATATATATCCTTTCTTATATAACCCTATCTGATATATATGTATAAATTTTCTGTACCCCCTTGCGTCCTAGTATATAGAAGGTTACATATATATATATATATAAATGCTTAAAAAAAAAAAAAATAAAAAGAAAAGAAAATATAATATATATAAATATGTTATATATATATTATATCCATATATTCCTGAAACCGCACTACACACACGCTATCCGATATTATGAATATATGTATTTTCTGGACTATAAGCACACACAAACATATATATATATAAATATTTAGGGTGCGGGTTATATAAACAAATATATAATGTATGCGATTTTATATATGAATTGTGTCTTCAAACCTCAAGTGGCCGGGGTTATATATATATATATATATATATACAAAAACCGGTCATATCGAACCAGTATTATATATATATATATATATATATGCGGGTTATATATATATGCGGACTACATTGAGGAAAATACACACATCTGCGATTATCAAAGTATATATTTTCTTCGGTAACACGCGTTACCACACAACACATATATATTTTTATATATATATAAATATAAACAAGGATATATATGTATAATTATTTATGTATTATATGCATGCGGTACTTATTAGAAATTGTCAATACAACCAAATATATATATATATATATATATATATATATATATATATATATATATATATATCGTCATAGTATCATCACGCAGTATCCAGGCATATATATATATATATATATATATATATAGGTTTATATACAGATAAAAAAAACACACACACATCTTATTTTTTCACTACACACATACATATATTTATCTTCGGAAAAACGCACACCCCACTGGGAAACGTATATACAAAAACATACAAATATAAACAAATATATATAAGTATATTTATTTATTATTATACTTTGAACCAAAAACGTTTTCACATTCTTCTGTTATATACTTCATTTTGTCATTTTTATACAATTCTTGATATATATATTATCTTTTACTATAGTATATAGCCCGGTGTTATATATATATATATAGATATATCATATATCGACCATCATAAAGACTGAAAAATAAAATTGACAAAGATTATTGTTTAAGGTTCAGGAACACGACACGCACAATTAGTTTAGTTTTTTTTTTTTTATTTTTTAGTTTTTTACGAATTGGTCAAACTCAAACAAAATTATTGTATTTTTCAATCGTTAGAAAGTCTACCGATTGAATAGAATATATATTATAAACAATTGTCTTGTAAATGGAATTTTTAAAGCATTCTAATATATAAAATAATATATATATATATATATATATAATACACACACTACCAGACACACAAAAAAAAAGTGAAGTTTTGTTATATTTGAAAAATTCAGGAAATTCGATCCCATATATAAACGAACACACACACACACACACACACACACATATATATATACACACACACAACCTGGGTTTTATAATAAATTAATTTATGAGTTTCCCCTTTCATTCTGACGAAAGAATCGTGTTTTCAAATTGATTTGTTGCAAAAAAAGATGCATCTTTTCCAGCTATCCAATGGTTTTCGAGAACCAGAACAAGGTAATTTGACAGTCCTGTAAATTTATTAGGCAACTGGAAATCGTTTGAAAACTTTTGCATATATATATATATATATATCCATATAGAATTCAATTTTAAAAACAATCTTAATCAAAACGTCTCGTTGAGTAAAAGGAATGCTAATTTACATTGCTTAATCTTGTTTTCTGCTAGTTTTAGAGTTGTTTTTTCTATTTTTAGTATTTTAATATGACATAGATTACTGTAGAAATTTAAATTCTCAGTTGTAACAACTGTTCGAAAGTGAAATTGCTCTATGGACAACTAAAACATTACCATGGACACCCAATTTGCTATTTTTTTTGTGTGGACTCCAAGTAATGTTACATGGACCCCCAGGTCCATATAGACCCAGGTTGGGAGTGTAGAGGAAAATGTTAAATGATGGTCGTAAGTTATTCAATAATTGAAAGAGGTTTGGTTGTGCAGGTTATTTAAAAGTAGGACATGTCCTTAATCCCAGTAAATTTACTGTGGTTAGACTCAGAAATTAATGCTCTTTACTAGAACATGATAAGCAAGTCTGTAGAATGTTGATTAGAACGTCGGGTTGACCAATTGTAGAATGTATTGCTTCTTGAGTGTTGTGGTCCCCAATGTTGAATGGGTTAAATAGATAATGTGGCTGCGTGTTGAGAAGGTAATAAACATTCATACATAATATTTAAAACATCAAGGAAAAAACAATGTGAACCAATTTTGTTTAACGAAGAAATATATGTATATTAAATTCAACAATAATACAAAGTAGTTGTAATATGAGTGAAAAAAAGGGAGAAAAAATTAGCTTCCCTTGACTGTAAGGAAATGTCTTAAAGAAGATTTGTCTGAGTAAAATGTTCAGAGTTCAGTGTTGAAAATAAAATATTTCTTTCAGAAAATTGTTCAGTTGTTGCAACTTACAGAGTTGATTTAACTTGGTGTGTCCACTGAGAACTGGTGGTGTGTCACATAAAGTTCTGTATTGTATGTATGTACGTACGTACGTGCGGATTGAGTAGGATGAAATACACGAGCGAGTAGATGAGATCTATTGTCTCTGGGTACACTCGACTGTGGTTCTGGAACTACTACTAACTGTTTTTTTTGGAATGCATCCAATATTTATACTACCTAGGGTGGATCCCAGCAGAGACGCTGGATATATTTTTGAATATACATGAAAAATATCCGATTGGACGGAAAATGGACCAATCAGCGATTTTGTAGCAAAGCTTGTTTTTGAACAAAGTGTAGGAACAAATTTACTATGGTGGAATGCGATAGATAAATTGTCCTGTTATTTTTTAGTATGTATTTATTGACCAATTAGAATTGGAGAAAATGTAGGCGTGGCACTACAAGTCTGTGCTTAGAACACCTATAAAGTACTGCAAGAAAAATGTATGGAAACTTTGTCAATTTCAAGTTGGTAAATTTTAACTGCTGAAGACATTGCTTCTCTTTTTAGTACCGATTTATTTTATTATCAAATTGATTTAATAACAATGACTAGGAGAAGGTAAATAATTTGCAAATGGATTTCAGTCTAATAAAAATAATTATTATCAAAATATGTGAAAAATTTCTGGGGCTGGATTGAGAAGGTCTCCTTCACTCACCATACTTGCCTGACCTGGCGCTAATAGACGACTATTTATTCCAGACACTGCAAAACAACTTGATTGGTAAAATATTTGCAACTGATGATGACCTGAAAACTGCAGTTGGTGACTTTGAATTTTACAACAAAGATTTTCATGACTTATCCTGTTGTTGGAAGCAGGTGATCAAAAATAACAATGATTATATTGATGTTTGATATGTGCCTTTTACTGCATTCTATCCTATGTAGTTGTTCGAGAAAAGTTGTTCGAGAACTTTGTTTCCAATGCAATAGTTGAGAACTGTGTAAATATGAAAAATGTTCAATGTTGTCAGATAATGGTTTGCTTTCAATTAGGACTAAGCAATTTATACCAATTTTGTAGACTCAAGAGGAAGCCACCCATTATATAAATTGGCAGGTATGTAGTAGAGAGCGGATTATGTGACTTCAAAAAAAATATTTTAACCAATCACAATTATTATGAGAACCCAAAACTAATCCATGAGTTTGCTAAGTTATAAAAAGAAAAGGTTACTGAATAGTCAGTGAGATGACGCAGAAATGGCAACTGGAAGATAAGCCAAGTTAACAGAACTGAAGAATACCAACTTCAAAACAGGGAATTAGACAGATAAAACATCAAATGACCGACTAATATCAGCAACAATAACACAAACTAAACCGTGAATTATTTATATCTTTGTGTGAATTTTATTTTTTCATCTTTACTAACAAATTCTTTATACAAACTCTAAAAAAAAAACTATTTTTCAGTATACACTCTTTAAATATTAAGAGTTAATAATACATTACCGTGATATGAGAACTTATATAGATGAAAATATGCAAAACAGATGGATTGGAAGAAGAGGGACAGTTGAATACCCACCTAGATCACCAGATTTGACATCCTGGGATTTCTTTTTTTTTCGGGGTGGGGGCGCTAAAAGACAAAGTTTCCAGTAGGAAACCTGAAACAATTGCCAAAATGAGAGTAGTAATTGAAGAAGAATGTGTTCAAATACCAGAGGAAATGATACTGGACATTTGTAGGTCTATTTCTTCAAGATCTGAAAAGTATATTGAACAGAACGTCAACCATTTTGAGGAATTGATGTAAACTCATCATTATATGAACATTCTGCCATTGCCCCAAGTAACTTTTATCTTATTAAAGTTAATTTTCTATGTTTCTTGTATATTTTACTCTCAAATTCTTTAAATGTGTATTCTTTCTCTTGTATTAATCTTATTTACAAGTCAAAATACATAAATTGAATAAGTTATAACAATTCAAAGAGTGTATACATTATTTTGGGACACCCTGTATAAAGATAGATTTCAGATACGTTTACATGACCAAGTGGCAAGTTTATGGGAGTAAAACATATTCTTTTTCCATTGCATCAATACAATAACGTGGGTAAAGAAGGACAGATAATTAGATAATCATATACGTATTAGGGGGTGCTGAAAAGATCCTGTCCTCACCCACCCTCCAGAATTAGTATTTCAATTACATGTCAGAATGCTGATTTTGGAAAATGGGTTAGGTTGAGGACTTTTCAGTGTTAATTTGTATAAAGTGTGTGTGTGTGTGTGTGTGTGTGTGTGAAAGATAGCTAGAAAATGATAGAGTAAGCGGAAAGAGGCGAGAGAAAGAAAGAGAATAAAGGGAAGAGAAAGAAGGTAAAATGAGGGATAGAAAAAAAGAAAGAGAGAGTGCAGGGTCGAGAGAATGAAAGGAAAAGAAAGACGGTAAAAAATGGAGACGGATAGAGAGAAGAAAGAGAAAGAGAGCAGTGGTGAGAGAATGAAAGGAAGAGAAAGAAAGACAAAATAGAGTGGGAAAAGAGAGAGAGAGAGAGAGAGAGAGAGAGAGAGAGAGGGGGGCGTGACGCTGCACCATGCACGTTCTTCGTGATTATTATTCTCAGAATCGAGTCGCTGTCTACCAAATTTTAAACGTACATATTCTAAATTAAAACCTCTAGACAACTGCACTTGCCTTAAACCAAGTCTTGTGATATATTTAACTTTAATTGGTATATCGTTATTAGATTGAAGAAAGCATTTTCAAGGAGCAAATCACATACAATTTCCAGACAGCAAACAAAGTTTGCTTCTCCATTTTTCCTTTTGCTGTTTCTTTTTATCAGTAGACATCAATATTTCTCGTTTTATTAAATCACTTTTTAAAAAAAGTTTGGAATTAAAAGACGTTAAAAAAAATGGAATTTGAAAATTGCCTTTATATAAATTATTTACTTATTTAAAAAATAATTTCATAACTTTATAATCGCTTAAAAATGAATCTGAAAAATAAATTTAACAAGCACAAGTTTAAAATCACAGAATCAGTGCATTTACGACATTTGAATAAATTTATATAGTTTAATTTTTAAGCTCATGGGAAATAACTCTTTAGCTTTGCGTATGCTTCTCTCCCTTTGTTTCCTTTTATTTTTGAACTGTGAAGTTCTTGAACTATGAGAAAACAGTGAAATCATCTGAACGATATGCATTTGTATGAATATTGTTATAATCTGAATGATAAATACATAAATTGAATTTTATATGAAATTATATATGTATGTAGTGGTCAGTGAGTCAGTTATGTGCTATACGTGATACACGCTCTTAGGCGATCATGCATCTTTCGATACATGAATGACAAAAGGCAGATTTTTTTTTTCAGCAGTAGGCTGCCATTTCTTTCTGCGGTAGACCAGTTGCCACCCAAGGCTATAGAACCTGGTCTGTCCTGCTAACTGGGGAGAAGAAGAGGATTCATACCTTTCCCAAAGGTATTTAGAACGTAAGTGAATGGAACGGATTCGACCGGAATTCGAACTAGGCTCTCCGACTCCTCAATCCGTGCCTCCTAGCCAGTTATATGCCATGCATGACACACGCTTAGGCGATCATGTATATTTAGATATATATGACTGACGAGGGAGATTTTTCCCTGTAGTAGGTTGACATTTATTTCTACGGTAGACCAGTTGCCATCCAAGGCTATAGAACCCGGTCTGTCCTGCTAACTGGGGAGAAGAAGAGGATTCATACCTTTCCCAAAGATATTTAGAACGTAAGTGAATGGAACGGATTCGATTGGAATTCGAACTCGGCTCTCCAATTCGTCAATGAAAGTTCCAGAAAAATCGGATCAACGAATGTTAATAGAAAACGATTAACATGAATGCTACAAAATAAAGAAGATTTTACTTTCTTTTCTTTTTACAACACAAGACTTGTGGAAATATCTGATGACAAAAATTAATCGTTCGTGTTTTTTTTTTGTTTTTTAAAGTCTCTGAGAGTCATAGAGAAATATCAGCAGCCGCGTGGCGTTAAATGCGTTATCGCCAAACTGAGTGTTGCAATTTGATTCTGCTCATTCAGTGGTCAAAGGGGCGGACTTGTGGCAAGAGACAGTTGTTTACCATTCCGCTACCACTTTTTATTTCTATTTTTTTTATCAATGCTGATTTCTGTGCAAAAAGCGGATCACAGAGCTTATCCAGCTTTATACATATTTTCAGAAAACCTCAACTTCTGATTGGTCACTTAATATTTAAATAATAACATAGACCTAATTCTTGACCTAACTAAAAAAAAATAATTCCGCCCAAAATCTATCAATTCCTTTCGAGCCTGTCACGTGATTAATTTGATTAAATACCAGACACGAATTCGTTCTTCCTCTTCTTTGATTTCTCTCGCTACTAAAATGTACTTGTAAAAAAAGAAATCGCGTCTCGATCCTTTGCTGGCGGACGCTATGAAAACATTCACACACGCACGCATAGACGTACGTACGAAACTTTACAAACTACATTACGAACATACGATACTTTTCAAACTTCATTACGAACATTACAAACTTAATGACAAGCAACGGAAACTTAATTACAAACATTATGGAGCATTCACTTTTTCAACCATTCTAAAGCTAAAAAGTTTACTCAGCTTTTTTTTACAGAAGTCTTTCAACTCTGTCACATTTTGAGCGGCAAGTTCATTCAATTTTTTATGAGCTCAGATAAAAAATATTTCATTAGTAAAAACTTCACTCACAGGGACATAACATCAACAAAAATAGTGACCCATATGCTTGTACATCATTATACAAATATAAATATAAATCTCGTTGTTGTTATAAAACCGTTTTGCGTTCCTTCTTGTTGTTTCCGTTGTTGCTTTTGTTTCCATTGTTGCTTACAAATTCGTAAAGTAAAAAAAAAAAAAGAAAAAGGAAAAAAAAAAAAATGTGCGGGTTGATTTAGGCCGTTAATACCGCTACAGTTGTATTTCATCTTGCCAGACAAGTAAGCTGTTCTGAAGCGGTTTGACAATATTCTCATTTAAAAAAAAGAAGTTCTGCTGGGATCACGCATGCGCGCGCGTTAGCTCAACAAATTTCTTATAAAGCGACCGCGTATTTTTTGTACACCTAATTGGTCGAAATATGTGGTCGAGCGTTTTAATTTTTTGGAAAACATGCATAGGCGGTTTTTATATATTAAGAATTACGCCAAAGTTGATCCGGTTTTTCGAGAGCCTAACTTGATGGGAAATTGCATCATTTCCTATATGTATTATTCAGACATTTGTGCTTATATGGCAAACACATTTATTCCCCAAACCAGGAAAATAAGTACTATAAATACATAATACTACCTACCAATTCAATAAAGACTACAAAGAAAAACAAAGACAGACTTTATCCAAATTATTAGGTTGGTGCAAAAATAATGACGTAATAATGTCGTTTTTAGTTGGTGCAAAAATAATGACGTAATAATGTCGTTTTTTGACCTTAAAAATACGTCAAAAAACGACATTATTACGTCATTATTTTTGCACCAACTTAATAAATGACAGAGGAAGGAAAATTTAAAAAAAAAAAAAAAAATGAAATAACTATTAGGTTAGTGCAAAAATAATGACGTAATAATGTCGTTTTTTGACGTTAAAAAATACGTCAAAAAACGACATTATTACGTCATTATTTTTGCACCAACCTAATAAATATAAAGATTGTTGTAACATCTTCAAAAGCAATAAGATTTAATATAACATAATATGAAGCTAAAAAACTTGAAGTAAGAATTTATACCATAAACTGTAATAAATGCTGCAAGAAATACAGATGTGACATATTTAGGAATTTAAATATAAGCAATCTTTTATAAAACAATGCCCTTAATGCATGAGTTGGTCCTTGTAATAAGTTTGACTATTAGTTTGACTTAAAGAATGCGGTTTTAAATTACAAGAATAAGTAAGGTAAATTAAGGTAAGGTTATTAAGGTAAAAATATAAAGAATGTGCACTAATTTCTGAGTCTTTCATACAGAATATTATCTTTCTTAATAAAACTAATGAACAAATGATGTTTGTTTTTTTTGTTTTGGCTCAAATATTTTTCACTATCTCAATCATTATCAAGAAACATATTTTATTGGGTTGGTGCATAATTATCAGGCGTTTTTAAAGAATATTTATTATGAAAAAACAAACAAACCAAAAACAAAAAAAAAAAAAACGTAATGGTTCAACAAAAACATTTTTAAATGATTATTTCGGGGCGTATGATTATCGATACGCATTTTTATAACCTGAAAATAAAATAATATTTTTATTAAAAAAGTAAACAAAACAGCAATTATTATTAACAATTAACTCACCTACAAAAATGCCTGATAATTATGCACCAACCAAATACATAAATGACTGAGGCAGTTCAAATTATTTGAACAAATATAAGCTTCAAACAGTTTATCCACAATTTTGATGCTAACATGCAACGTCTTGTCCAAAAATTGTAAAAATACAATAAAAATTAGAAAGTCAGGATTTGTTGATGGAATTTAATAAAAAAATTATTTGGACGAATACTTGCTGCCTTAATATACCAATGACCATATACTTCGCGATTTCAGAATGAATTATTAGGTTGGTGCAAAAATAATGACGTAATAATGTCGTTTTTGACGTTAAAAAATACGTCAAAATCGACATTATTACGTCATTATTTTGCACCAACCTAATAAAAAAATTATTTAAACAAGAAATAGATATATAACAAACAGAATATATCTATATTTTCCAAAACTTCCAAAACAAATTGTCTGAGATAAGAAAAAAAAAAAAAAAATCAGAGCCGAAGGAGAGGAAAAAGAAGAAGGAAGAAGTGGAATAGGGAGGGAGTGCAAGGAGACAATGAAGTAATGATTAAGGACAAATAACTACGACTTTCCACACACACGCACACACACACAGACACACACACACACAGACACACACACACACAGACACAGACACACACACACACACAAAGAAAAAAAATCGACCTAACACCAATAAATAGTACATAAATTAACTTGTCTTATAAAAATAACAAAAATGAGTTGACGGAACTCTAGAGTCGGTGTACTGAATCGACTAAGTGACAAATTTATACTTGTATTAATCCTATATAGTACACGTGCGCGCATGTGCGTAGACGGGCGCATAGGCGCATGCGCGTGAACGCACACACACATTATAAAAAAAAAAAATGGACTTGCACCAATAAAAAGTGCATATAAAACAAGAAAAATCGAGAAGTATAAGCAGTCAATTGCTGATACACCCTGTCGAGTGAACGGAATAATTCCCAGAGAGTCCGTCTACGGAACTCTAGAGTCGCGATGCTGAAAATACCATCAATCAGCGAGATGACATTTTTTTTTTATTACTTTAATTACATATATATATATATATATATATATATATATATATATATATATATATATATATATATATATATATATAACGTTTAACTATATATATAATAATATATATATATATATATATATATTTGATTGGATAGATGTGAGTTTGTTTCACGCTATAGCGATCGTCAGACAAATATATATATATATATATGACGTGCTAATACTC